TTTTTTTCTCTCTCCATATTTCATTCTGTTATTTGTGCATTTCAAGCTTCTGTCAGGGGTGCAATTTAATAAGACTGCCAGACGGAGTACTTGTAGACATACCGCTGATTCGTCGTTACTAACTCAGAAACAGTAAAAACCAAAAGCTAAGCGAAAAAAGTAACAAAGATATGATACCTTTGGGAGTTTTGGAAGTCTTCGACTTTCATTGCTTTCTACAATCTCTTTCACTTTCTTTAACAGACTGTCAAATCCCAAGTCTCTGGGATCCAATAATAAGAGGAAATTTTGGGAACATGTCTCCAGTACCATGGAAGTATTCACCAAGTCTAGTTCAGATGCTCCGCTCAGAAACCTGTTCTTAACGAATTGCATGAGAGCAGTTGTTCCTTTTCCCAGAATCACCTTCTTTTTCCTTTCACCTTTCTTATCTGTTTTTGCATTATTTTCACTTGAAGGCGCCCTCTCGCTCCCATTGTTGACTTGGCTTTTCTCGACCAGGTCACTTCCCTCAAGAAAAATGAATGCAGTTGTGGCCTCCCATGAGACAATCTTTCTCACCAAGTCTGACAAGCCATATATTTCATGCAAAAACAATATATAATCCTTCTTGGAAAGAGCAGCTTGTGCAGACATGTATAACTTTTCCAGAGAATCAATGCGTGGGCATTTGGCATCCAACATTTCCATCATAAAAGAACTCAAATCACCATGAGATGTTGAGCTGCCAACAAGTTTGGCACGCTGAAAACTGAGATCCCCCAAATTCCAGAGAGCCCCAGCCAATGATAACAGCACAGGTGACATGGCATCAGCAGTGCCAGAAGGGCAAGCTCTGGAACTCGAATTCAACTGAACCCGAGATCTGGAATGGAGCCACCACAAACTCTCCCGGAAACTACCATGGGCACTGGAAATCTTGGCAACGGCAGGATTCACAGGATTCTTGCTGGAATTAACCAACTTAGACCCATTGAGAAACACCTTCAAGTCGGATGCCACAGCCACATCGTCCTTGGCAGAAGAACCATCACCAGAATCAATCAAATTGAAACAAGACGCATCAGCTCTTAGGCACTCACAAGAGAGGGCAGCCACTGCATCAGCGACAGCTGACAAGGCAGAAGACCGGTGATCAAGAATAGCAGAAATGCCATCGATAGCAGCCATTGGGAAATCCAAGAGAACCATGTCATCATTGGGCACATTGTCAATTGTATAATCAGGACTAAGGGACGTTTCCTTGAGTATATCCTGCAACTGAAATGCAGCTGGAGACAAGGAAAGTAGAAGCTTATTTAGGAGCAGAAGCACTGAAGCTCTAGCCTCTTCGGGGCTCAAATAGTTAGGAATTGATAATGCAAACTTGGTGGTTGTAGCGGATTTCGAATTTGAAGAGGACGAGATCCTTGAAAGAGCTGATGATTCAATGTCAAAACGAGCAAGGCCATTGGCCACCTCAAATACCGAAGAGGACGTCAGTGAGTAGCCCTTCCCACCCACTGTTACCACTCTTCTCTCGGCTGCCATTGCTGCCTCGGCGAGAGTTCTTCCCCAATTTCAGGAAAGAGAAAAAAAAAACCCTGACTAATAAGCATATCAATACAGCGACAAAAGGAAAACTAAAAGAAATGAAACAATTTAAACGAATACGCGTGGGGCGGTGTATGGACTTAAGCTTTTAGACAATATAGTTAATTGTATCAGAGCAGGGCAAAATAACTGAGTTCAATTTTATCGCCGTTATCCATTAAAAATTGTGCAGGCGTGAGGCTTGAACAGAAAAAAATTGAAACAGGCCGTTGTGTTATTGATATCTGCAATCAGATTAGAGAAAATGACAGTCACTTCTGATTGCTCAAACAAAAGATGAATTACCTGTTACCGGTTGGGGAGTTGCGGATAGGTCCGCCGGAGCCGGAAGCTGCAGATATTCTTCTGAAGCAGACGGGTCGAATCTTTGCAGACGATTAGCTTCGCTGAAGCATAGTTTTGCAAAGAAATAGCCCACTTGTTTGTCGAGCAGATGGGAAATATCATTTGATAGATGACCCAGCCCCCTAGGGTTTGAAGGTTTTCATGTTGGGCTGTACACCAAATAGCCCGACAAGCAATACAGTTTGTAAAACCTAGTTTCAGCTTAAACCAAATGAAAAGAGCCAAA